TTAGCAAATAAGCATAACGTCATCACGCCACCGCTCCGTTGTACTCGTAACCACCCCCTTTTGGGGAGGGGAAAGGGGGAGACCCAGACCCTTACGCCGGCAATCCGCCCACCAGTTCCTGGCTGATGTGATACTGGCAGGTCGTGGGCCTCTGGCTCCTGCTTTGGTTTCAGTTTCTGTGCATTGTGGCATGGTCTGTCTCTACAGGTGGTGCACGAGCCAGGAGTAATATTCTACGGTACTTGGACTGCATGTGCCTAGGGTTCCCTTCCCCTAGGTGCCCAGTAAGTACTGCCCTTGGGGTTTGGGGCCTCCTTCCATAAGTCACCTTGGGGTCTACCTCTGCTGTGTCTTTTATTGCTCGGTACTTGGCCACCCTTGGAGTCAGCTGGGGTCTTGATGCCCTTGTTTGCCTCTGGGTAGGAGGTAGTTTTCGTCACTGGTAGGGGTGCAGGTTATTGCACAGCTAGTTATCACCTATTTTAGCGGCTGGCTCTGTTCTGCCTGGGTACGTTGTCCCCTTGCGGGGTTTTTCCTTTGTTTTTGTTTTTCCTGCCAGGTAGGGGTCTGCCTTTGGTTGGTTTCTCCCTCTTTATCTTTAGGGTCCTCCTCTTATATATCTCTGTTTTTGGTGGTACCCTCATGCTTGGCCCCTGTGAGTGGACATGTCTCAAGGGCTCAGCTTTAGAAATTTGCTTGGTAGTTTTGGGTGCCGGTTCGCAGTACCCTGCCTGGGCTTCCCTTAGCATGTTATCAAGGCTAAGGGCCCTGGGGAAACCCCACGGGGGGCTCTGTGGTCCGATGCATGTGACCCTTGAGTTCCCCCCTCGCTTCGTGCAAGGTTGATGGTTGCTCTGTCCCCTTGTCTCAGGGTGACATTCATCAGTTGTGCGTACACCATGCTGCCTGTAGAGTCGGCAACTCTTTTGACCCGGAGTCGTGCGACATTTGTTGGTATGTGCTCTAGTTCACCCTCACTACCGATCATGATCTGTGGGTGCAGGCAGCAGCAGCGTTGCATGCTAGGTTCTAGTTGCTGCAACGCGCTGGATTGGTTGCTTCCCCGGATGCCCCAAGACTGCCCTGTTTTAGTTTTAGGGATCCGGGCCTGGGGGTGGGAGTCGCTTCGACTTTGGTACCTTCCACCCATCCTTCCCCTTCTGTTGTGCATCCGTTCCCCCCCACCCCACCCCCATCCCTCCTGCTTCCAGCTCCAACCCATCAACCCAGCTCCTGCCCCATTTGGAGGCGGGGCAGGATCTAGTTGGTGTTGAGACTCGGGTGGTTTTGGGAGTAGTGGCAGAGGCACCCCTTTTAGAGTGGTGGCAGAGGCATTTGAGCTTGTTCCTCCTGCCAATGTGCATGGGTCTGACCAGTGGGCCCCCTTCCTTTTTTTTTCGGGTACCCCCGGCTTTTTATTGAGGCTGGCGCTTTAGAGGGATGGCTCGGCTCCGGGTCCTCCGAGTGGGGTTCCGGGAAGGGAAAGAGCAGCTGACGAAATACGCATAGTATTTCAGGCAGATCCTTAATCTAACATGTAATTTTAAGCAGGTAATTTCTAGCAAAATTAAAAATGTTTACAGGTACAGTGTAAGAAAGTACAAAAATACATTGTAAGAAGGTATTGTAGCGAGTAGATTATCCCAATAATATACTCGCTCCAAATGCATTGTTAATATTCCTGTCAACCTTTGGAGATGAATGAGGTGAGGCGTTGCCCGGGCAACACGGTGAGGTGTTGCCCGAGCATATAAGCAGCAGAATAGCAAACATTAACTAGTCTACTTTCAAGTGTGGTCTAGAGCAGACACTTGCGAGATACTGTACCAACGCTCAGTGCGCTCAACTCACACCAAAGTATCACCTGTGTACTTCTGTATATTCGACCAAATATATATATATAGTATCTTAGTGTCTGTGTTTATTTGTCACCATACTTTACGTAACAATAGAACCGTTACAGTATAAAAATGCATTGTAAGAAAGTATAACAAAAAATACATTGTATAAAATATTTGACAGAAAAATGGTAGGTACATTAGAGTAAATTTAAGGGTTAGCCACAGGGTCAGTTTAGCGTAACTTGAGGATTATTGTAAGATATAATGTAACAAAACTATGTGTATAACATGATATAACAGCAATGATTACAATTTTAAAGTTGTATGGCATAGGTACATATTTTGAGGAATTGGGAAAACTCGCACTAGATACAGTGCGAGTTTCAAGCACTAGGTAGGAAACTATGATGATGAAATTAAGTACGTTTTGGTTTTATATTTGAACAAGGCAAAAGTTCGGCAGCTTTTCAATTCATTAGAGAGCAAGTTCCATAGACCAGTCTCTTTACTAGCATAGTGTGTTTACACAGAATAAGTTTGACTCTGGGGATTTCAAAGATATATTTATTTCTGGTGTGGTGATTATGTGTTCTATTACATCTGTCCAAGAAGAGTTTCAGAACAAGGTTTTGTAAATGTAATTGACGCAAGAGAATGTGTGGAGTGAGACTATGTTTAGGAATTTGAACAGGGGGGCCGAGTGTTGTCTGAAAGTCGAGTTTGTTGCTGTTCTGATAGCAGATTTTTGCTGGGTGATGATGGACTTGAGGTGGTTTGCAGAGTTTGAAACCCATGCCATAATTATTAATACCATAATTAAGAGAGGGATAAATTAGTGCATAATATAGTGAAAAGAGAGCAGAGTAAGGATCATAATATCCGACTTTAGAGTATACCAACCGTTCTTGAGACTTTCTTGGTTATGTGTTGTATGTGGGTGCCAAAGTTGAGTCTCTTGTCTAAGTATAGGCCAAGGAACATTCCATCATTTTTATTGTTGATGTTAACATTGCTTATCTGAAGCTGAATTGCACTTGTTGATTTGCTTCCGAATAAGATGTACAGTAGTAGGTCTTTTCTATGTTTAGTGTGAGTTTGTTGGTTGACATCCATAAGTGGACTTTTTTTTTTTTTTTTTAGTTCATTGTTTACAACAAATACAAATACAAATATTTATTCAGGTAAAATGCATACATACAAGGTAAGATACAAAAGTTAATAGATTTATAGATAGAGCTAGTACATACAATGGCTAAAGCCTAAAGACTAAAACTTAATACTAATTGAGATTAAAGTATAATTAGTATTGAGATTTAGTCTTAGTGTTTTTCCTGCCTGAAACGCTTTGTGTAATAGTGGCTTTAGGCATTGTATGTACTAGCTCTATCTATAAATCCATCAACTTTTGTTATCTTACCTTGTATGTATGCACTTTACCTGAATAAATATTTGTATTTGTATTTGTTGTAAACAATGAACTAAAAAAAAAAAAAGTCCACTTATGGATGTCAAGCAACAAACACACTAAACATAGAAAAGACCTACTACTGTACATCTTATTCGGAAACAACATTATTTAGTGTGTGTGAATTGGGGTCTGAGTAGATGAGGGTAGTATAGTCAGTAAATAATATAGGTGTAAGAATGTTAAGAGACATTAGGCAGATCATTGATGTATATAAGAAATAGGAGGGGTCCTACGATGCTTCCTTGTGGCACATCTACAGTTAGTGGTAGAATGGGAGAGGTTATATCATTGATGACTACATATTGGTCTGTCACTGAGATAGGATCGGATATAGTTCAGGGCAAGGCCACGGATTCCATAATGGTGGAGTTTAAGTAAGAGGTAGTTATGGTTAACGGTGTCAAATACCTTTCTCAGGTCAATGAAGAGTCCAATCAAAAACTTCCTTTGGTCAATGGCTGAGTAGATTAAGTCAAGCATACTAACAATGGCATCATTGGTACTCTTTTGGGAGCGGAAACCAAACTGACAGGAAATTAGTATGTTGAACTGCACGAGATAGGAGTAGAGCAGTTTGTAAATAATTTTTTCAATTTTTTTGAAAATATAGGCAAAATTGATATTGGTCTGTAATTGTAGGTCCGTCTAATTACCACAAGCTACCACAAGCTACAGAAGCTTCTCAAAGCTTCCTGGCAATACGTTAGTAATGAATAAATATGATATGTTAGGTTAGACTGACCTAACCTAACTTAACCAAACCTAACCTAACCTAACTTAACCTAAACTAAACTAACCAACGCTTGGATCGTCGACTTGATTTGGCGTCACCAGCTTTTTTTTTTTTTTTTGAGATATATACAAGAGTTGTTACATTCTTGTACAGCCACTAGTACGCGTAGCGTTTCGGGCAGGTCCTTAATTCTATGGTCCCTGGAATACGATCCCCTGCCGCGAAGAATCGTTTTTTCATCCAAGTACACATTTTACTGTTGCGTTAAACAGAGGCTACAGTTAAGGAATTGCGCCCAGTAAATCCTCCCCGGCCAGGATACGAACCCATGACATAGCGCTCGCGGAACGCCAGGCGAGTGTCTTACCACTACACCACGGAGACTGTCAGCTCTTTATTTTCGTCTAATTTCTTTATAAAAAGACACTTTTTCAGATTAAAATTATGTTTTTTCGTGTTGTACATTCAGCACCAACATTATAATGAGTAAATATATCATGTTTATTCATTACTAACGTATTGCCAGGAAACTTTGTGTAGCTTGTGGTAATTAGACGGACTGATAATTGTTTATGTCTGCCGGATTGCCTCCTTTATGAACTGGCGTTACTCTTGTATTTTTAAGGATATCAGGGAAGGTATGATACTCTAGAGATTTGTTGAACAGCGAAGATATGGGCACTCTTGTATACCATAGATGGTATACTTGCCTGAAACGCTATGCGTGCTAGTAGCTTTACAACAATGTAAAATCAACACCATTTCTATGTACACTCTTAACACCCAATGTACCTCTTCTATATATAAAAATAAATAAATAAATAAATATTTCACTAATGTTCCGAGCTCTCGTTATGTAAACTCACCAACCGATTGGACCTCCTTGTAAATAAAATTATTATTATTAGCAATAATATCTTCAATTTAAGTTTGGTAAATGTAACTTATATTTACTTACCATTCTAAATATTGGTCTGACATTTCTTAGAAAATTATAGAAGTCAGCAGTGTACACGCTCAGTCTGCTCGCTGCCATAGTGTCTACTGACTCATCACTCGAGCCTTTATCACCTGGCACACTATGTGATCGTTGGTGCTACGTTATACATGACTTTACCTGAATTTACTTGAGGTAAATTACTTTACTTTACCTCCGAATTGTTCTAATCATTTTTTCAAACTGCATTTTAAAATTCAACAGTTTCTTGGGTATTTACCGATTCAGTAAATTAAAAATAGTCGACTCATGAATGTCGAACAACAAACTTACACTAACCATAGAAAAGACCTAAATTTTTATTTCGTAGTAAATCATCAAATTAGATTCAAATCCACAAGAGCAGTGACGGGGATTCGAACTACGTCCGAGAGCATCCCAGACGCTGCCTTAATTAATCGACTGAGCTAAGACATGGTATAAGAATTGCAACCAGAAATTCTACTAAATTTACTTCGATCCTGCAGCCTCTCCGCGAGACAAACCAGGATTTTACACATTCCCCCATGCACTCGAGCTATGTCAATAGGCCGTTCTACCTCTTCGCCCTTACTTCATTACACACAGGAATCACAATAGCGTGATGTATCAAATGAACAAATCCACAAGGTCCGTGACGAGGATTCGAACCTACGTCCGAGAGCATCCCAGACGCTGCCTTTATTAATCGACTGAGCTACGACATGGTATAAGAATTGCAACCAGAAATTCTATTGAATTTACTTGGATCCTGCAGGCTCTCCGAGACACAAACCAGGATTTACACAATTCCCCAATGCACTCGAGCTATGTCAATAGGCCGCGCCACGCGGCAGCACGTGCACGCACGGACACGCACCCCAGGGGACACGGTGCTGAGCACACGCCGGGAACACCAGGGACTGCCCTAACTAGGTGGGTGTGGAGAACACAGACACCCCACCAGCGATGGGGAAGCAAAACTGTACCGTAGAGCCTCAGGAGGGAGGCAGGATGACCCAACCGGTTCGCGCTGGGAAGTCGAGGGGCAAACGTCAAGTACGTCGGACAAGCTGAGGTCCGGGACCGTGGGCGCTGGCGTAAGATCCATGGAGTTGGAAACACTGAGTTAATCAGACTAAGTCCTCGTTGGTACTGGTGACCAGAAACGGGCGGCGGCTGCAGGTGAACAGAGGTCGTGACCTGATTGATTGATTGATTGATAAAGATTAAGCCACCCAAGAGATGGCACGGGCATAAATAGCCTGTAAGTAGTATAATTTTTTGTTCAGTAAATCTTTTCAATGTTCTGAGGTCGCATTTAATCGTCAAGCTGATATCGCGGGGAAGGATACGGCTTGACCGTATTTATAAGGATGTCCAGCTGCTGGACACCTTTTTTGACCAGAAGAGTGGCTGTGTTGATGGCTTCAGGGTGGCCACTGCAAGATTCGGGGACTCTTAAAGCTCTTCTAAGGTCGTTGGTTGCTTCGCATTCCAGGAGATAGTAAAGTAGTGGCTTTTCTGTGACAGTTTGGCAGAAGATGCACTCTCTCTGTAGGGGTTCACCAATCTCCCAGTTGCATCTGTAACCTAGACATAGTCTATATAACCGAACTAATTACTTCATTATCCATTTCTTCCCTTTCGGTTCTCTTATACGTTTGTGGCAATGAAAATGTGTTCTAGAGTTCTCTGGAGTTGCTGGTAGCTGATCAAGTTACGGCGCCTTTTTTTTGTTTTTTTTTTGTTTTGTTTTGTTTTTAGATATATACAAGAGTTGTTACATTCTTGTAGTCATAGCATCTAGGTAATCCATTACCTAGGTTACAAGGTGTTGAACGAGAGAGGCTGCCGTAGGAACTCTGGGGGGCGCTCTAGAATAGTTAGTTAACTAGGAGCGGGATAACGGACTAAAGAGAGTTGTTTCCCCCGGCCTCGTTAGTTGACTGGGGGGGGGATGGAATAATGGGCTAAAGAGAGCTATTTCCCCCACCTCTCGTTACAACCAAAGTCATCTTGTGAGTGGTAGTTTATTGTGCACTCCAATACTCATCTTGTGAGCGATAGTTTATTGTGCACTCCAATACTCATCCTGTGAGCGATAGTTTATTGTGCACTCCAATACTCATCCTGTGAGCGATAGTTTATTGTGCACTCCAATACTCATCCTGTGAGCGATAGTTTATTGTGCACTCCAATACTCATCTTGTGAGCGATAGTTTATTGTGCACTCCAATACTCATCCTGTGAGCGATAGTTTATTGTGCACTCCAATACTCATCTTGTGAGCGATAGTTTATTGTGCACTCCAATACTCATCTTGTGAGCGATGGTTTATTGTGCACTCCAATACTCATCTTGTGAGCGATGGTTTATTGTGCACTCCAATACTCATCTTGTGAGCGATAGTTTATTGTGCACTCCAATGCTCATCCTGTGAGCGATAGTTTATTGTGCACTCCAATACTCATCTTGTGAGCGATAGTTTATTGTGCACCCCATACTCATCCTGTGAGCGATAGTTTATTGTGCACCCCATACTCATCCTGTGAGCGATAGTTTATTGTGCACCCCATACTCATCCTGTGATGAGTATGCCACCTATACACAACATGCGAGTAGTAGTTTATTGAGCACATTGAGTTATTTATTGAGTTTATTGACTTTATTTAGAAGGCCTGGTCGAGGACCGGGCCCCGGTGATGCTAAGCCCCGAAACCATCTCAAGGTAACCTCAAGGTAATCCCGATACTCATCCTATGAGTGGTAGTTTACTATTTATTTATTTATTTATTTATTTATTTATTTATTTATTTATTTATATACAAGAAGGTACATTGGGTTTGTGAGAATACATACCATAGTATTTACAATCTTGTAAAGCCATATAGTACGCGCAGCGTTTCGGGCAGGTCCTTAATCTAACAGATAGGTAAATTAAGTAGGGGAATTCCAGCAGAATTAATAAAATGATAACAGATACATTGCAAGAAAAAAATGAGATGAGAGAGATTAGTAAGTATATTAAAGCACATTGGTATATTAAAGCTCTGATTGATTACATTGACAGCTTGATTGGTAATTTAAACTAGATTAATAGACACCATACAGCAGATTGATAGCACATATAAGAAGACAACAATGATCACAATGGTAAAGATGTTCAGATTGGATACATAAAGATTGGGAGATTGGGTAGCAATAGATACAGTGCAATTTAAAAGCAAAAGGTAAAAAACTATGAAGATGAAATTAGGTACTTTTTAGTATTGTTTTTGAATGACGCAAAAGTTGGACAGCTTTCAATTCATTAGGGAGTGAGTTCCATGGACTGGGTCCCTTTATGCACCACACACTCATCCTGTGAGCGGTGGTTTGTTGTGCACCCCATACTCATTCTGTGAGCGGTGGTTTATTGTGCACCTCATTCTCATCCTGTGAGCGGTGGTTTATCCTGTGAGTGATAGTTTATTGTACACCCCATACTCATCCTGTGAGTGATAGAGCAAAAGGATTAGAGGGCACTAAAAGCTCTTGGTGTTCTAATTGATAACAAGCTGAATTTCCAGGGCCACATTCAAAATATAGCAATCCAATTCTAAAACAGTTGGCATTCTTTCTCAAATCAGATATTACGTACCTCGCCCTTCCCTGATAATGCTCTATTACTCTCATCTATCCTTATCTCAATTATGGTATCTGGACTTGGGGTTCTACTACCCAAAATCATCTACGTCCTCTAATTACTCAACACAAATCTGCTATTAGAACAATAACAAACTCTGGCCTCAGACAGCACTTGGCCCCCCTTTCTTAAATCTTTTAATATGTTAGATATTAAGTCACTGCACATCCTCTTAAGTGTACTCTCTATATATAAAACTCTGAACTGTAATGCCAATCCTGACCTTAAACGCTTCCTAGAAGGTTGTAACGGAACCCATGGTCACCACACTAGAAACAAATACAATACCTATTTGATATTCCATGAGCACGACTTAACCAAACTAGAAATGCTCTACAAATCAAGGGACCCAGAGTGTGGAATGATCTTTCCAATCATGTCAAAGACTGTACCTCTCTCAACCGGTTTAAGAGTAAAACTAAATACTTCCTAATAAACTCCAATCAACCTACCTTACCCCCTAAATGTCAACCCATGTCTTGCTATTTTCAAGCAATATTGATTATTGCCCAACGTGTTTAGCTGCTGATATCCACCATGTATAAACTTGAAGAAAATTGTAGTCTTCGTTTCATTTAGTTAAAATTTCTTCTTTTGTTCCATCCATCATGTAATTATTATAATTCTTTTTTTCCCCCTTTTCAATTAAATTTATGCTTTGATCTCAATTAGTTTTAAGTTTTAGTCTAAGTGGTTTTCCCACATATTGCCCGAAACGCTGTGCGTATTAGTGGCTTTAGGCATAGTATGTACTAGCTTTATCTAGAAATCCAACATTTTGTTTGTAACTCATCTTGTATGTATGTACTTGTAACTGAATAAACATTTATTTATTAAGTCTTTGGGGTCATCACCAGGCGTTACTCCTCGTAAAACGAAAAACGTAAAATGTAATGATCCCAGCTTGACTATGTCAACACACTGATGTAATTGGTCTTGAAATCTTACTGTATGGCTATGCTGAAACCAGACTATCGTCTTTATAAAGAGTGGCTCAAAGTTCTCAAGGCTGTGGCAGGGTATCACCCAGGCTATGTTGCAAATGTCAGATTTGCTAAAATTATGTTTCTTACAAGTATTAGATCTTTGACTGTGCTGCATCTGTTTGCTATAATGCTTGAAATAAGTGCTTGGGGAGCTTAAAAAATGCAAAATGAAGCAATGAGGATTATCCTTTGGTAATTAAATACCGCCAATATACAGTACACGTACGTAATATGAGGACAGAACATAATATTCAGCCATTTCAATGTTCAAGAAACATGTTTCAATTTCTGCTGTTCCATCCATCATGTAAGTATTATCACTTTTCTTTTTCAATTCAATTTATGCTTTGATTTCAATGTTTTAAGTTTATTTAGTCTATTGTATACTTTATTAGTCAGAATTGTTACACCCTGCAACAGTCATTACATACTAAGTCAATCTGATTCTCCAGCTTAACGAGAGCACCAGTATTACTAGTGCAAAAATTTTTATTTACCCATTATGTATGGAAACAGTAATTTTTGTAAAGCTTACTGTGATATTTAACCTTACGAACACAAGTGTCAAACATACTTCATTATTCTGAAAATTTCCAGCTTATAGGCATTGCTACAAGTTCTGAAAGTTTCATGACTTCAACCATATCTTCCATTGATATATTCTTTTCTACTTGAAAACCTTGAACATGTCTTCTGCCTCTTCTGAGAATGTGGGCAGAGCTCCCTAAACCTTACCTCGAATGGAAGGTCTCATTCATAACCAGGGACCAGTCTCTCATCTTATTGATTTTCTCTAAGGAAGTGATAGCCATTCTGTAATATGGTCATCTCACAACAAATTTTCCATCATATTTAGCTGGTGCAGTGAAGGGGTTGAAGTAGTAGTATGGTATGTGTAAATTAAACTTGTTTTGAATATATTACAATTTTTATTAAATGGTTCAATTTCATACAAAGATTTCTCAATGGCAAAAAGAATTTAAATCATACATTCTTCCTAATTTTAATTAAAATTCAAACTAAGGAATCATGTTACTGTCATGTTCTTAAGTAGGTACTGCACTGAATAAAAAATATCATGTAATTTGCAAAGTTTCAGCTATAAAAAATGAACCTCTTTATACAGTAATTATTATATAAAAAAAGTAATTTCACAATTAGTTTACACAAGCTATGAACAACGTTAACTATACCCTAACATGTTTTTCACATAAATTTGGCTTGTATTACAATTAAATACCTTACATGAAAAAATTATTTATATATATATATATACACGCACATCATTACTGAAATTACGACATCCAGAAAGTTGCATAATTTCACAGTTTTGTAATTCAACCATACTTGTACTAACGATTTACAGCCATCATAGTACCATTTACCGGGGTACTGTACATCATTTACAGCCAAACACACTTCACGAGTAGATGTAAATATGTTAAGTGTCTGTTAAAGGATAATTTGAAACTGGAAATGCTTCATTATGTTGCTTGGAACCTAGGATTAAGTATCACTTTTCCAAAGTTTGATGGTTTTATCATTCTCTAGTGCCCCAGAGGCAATGATGTTTTGTGTTGGGTGACACGCAGTGCATAATACAACATCTGAAAAAAAAACCAAGCATTAAATCATATATTGAAATTTTTTTAATATAAAATAGACTATAAATTCCTTCAGGAACGAGGGTGTCAACATAAGTTCCGAATGAAAATAATTATAAGTGGCAAAGCCTGCAAAACTATTTAGCACTATCTGTGTCACAGAACATTAACAAAAACTACTATATATTATGCAGGACATTAATTTGAGAGCAAAAAGACATACAATAAGCAGTATCACATCAAATTCACCAAGGACTGGACACGACTCATTGGAACATTGAGAGAGAGCAAGATTTCCATTTACTGTATTTTAAAAATCAGGACATTTGATAAGGATCTCTACTGTTAGCAGGACATTTCTGACAGTAAGATGCAGTCTGTCTACTGGATTTTTGCAGTAATATTATTCAAGTGTCATTTGAGAAATTTACAGTACAGTATAATAAAATGTGCAGAATATCAATATGCACAGATATAATATTCTTACTAATATGTGCAACTCCATCTATCATTCTATTATGCAGGAAATACCACACGTCTATAGGTCATCCAATAAGGTTAGACTTCTAGATGTTACCACTTCTAGGCTTAGGCTCGGCTACAAGTACCTCTGGGAGTTAGTAACATCTGCTGTGGATTTGACTAAATGTAAACTCTGTCAGCAGAACTACTTGCATACTTTGCGTCATTATATAATGGAATGCGAAAAAATCACAGAATTCAGAGATAACACCAATGGAGTCCAAGAAATGTGTAAGTACTTCATTCATAATGATGTGCTGCCCGGAATCTTAGCAAAGTATCCAAATTTGCTTACTGTAGGTAATGCATGCACATGACTGTAAAGCTGCTGCCCAGTTGGGTGGGTGTGGAGCAAGACTAGTAACCGTGTGACTCACCATAGATGTAAAGTGCCTTGTATAGTGATTGTTGTGAGCCTCTTGTTGAATCACTTGTGATACAAAAGATTATTGATGTGTGTATTTGTGTAGGTGTTGTATATGTATGTATACATACATGTGTGTGTGTGTGCATGTTTGTATGAGTATGTGTACGAGTATACAACATTAATAATTGTGTAACTAGCATCAAAAGAGTGTTATTTGTTTAGCTAAGCGAACTAGGGGGGTTCAGTTCCTGAACTGATTATGTGCCTCTGTAACCCTTTATTAAATTCTTTAAAAATGAATCATACTGTTTTTGCTGTTATTACAATGTATACATATTATACATGTCTATGACTACATTTTTATGCACCATTAAGAACCACTTAGCAGTTCTAGTGGTTGTGGTAATCTTACAATTCAAGCACAACATACCACCACATGCTAGTCAGCAACACTGCTATTATCCAGCCCATCCTCCTGTCTTAGTAGTACTGTACATATTTATCGTAACAACGAAACCATAGTACATATACCAATGTACAACACAATTAGAAATAGGTACTATTGAACTTGGACAAACCAGAAAAGATTTTCTATTTATGTTGCAAAGATAAACTAAACTAACATAACCTAACCTTCCTAGGCCTAATATAGTATAGTGTACATATATGTGCCATACTAGGCTGAGGAATATTTAACAATATCTCGCACAGTTAATGTTAGTTAACGTCATAGACTATGACGTCTGCTCCTGACGGTTCAGGCGAGCGTGCGGCGACACCGAAATGTGTATACCTGTTTCAGTTTTCCCACCTTAATTCTTGTGCTACGTCGTTCGGTTTGGTATCATTGCGTTCGCAATAGAATTCCCTACAGGGGTAAATGCATATAAGGTCCAAAAGCCCGGCGTGACTCCCCACAGCAAAGCATAAAGTCGGCCAAGTTACCCATGAGCGAGCAAAATCAGTAAAATGTATATACTCGTTTCAGTTTTCTCATCTTATTTCTTGTGCTACGTCATTCGGTTTGGTATCATTGCGTTCGCAACAGAATTCCCTACAAGGGTAAATGCATACAAGGTCTAAAAGCCCGGCATAACTCCCCACAGCAAAGCCTAAAGTTGGCCAAGTTACCCGTGAACGAGCACCAATTGTAACACCTGCAGACTAATGTATATATACTCGTTCAGTTTGATAACAAATTTTTGTGTTACGCGTTTCATTTTGTATCAAATTGTTCGGAAAATAAAGGCACATATTTTTAAACTAGTCCCATAATAATAGAACAATAAATGGAATTTTAACAAATATTTTAAAATTTGGACCACAAAAGTATTTATTATCTTTCCAGTGTTCCGACACTGACACTGGATCAATTTTCCCGCCACGTCTTTCATTTTGGTATCAAATTGTTCGCAATATAAAGGTGCATATTTTAAAACAAGTCCCATAATAATAGAACAATAAATGGAATTTCAACAAATATTTTAACCTTTGGACGTTCATCACCACAAAATTATTTATACCTTTCCAGTGTTCTGACATCAATTTTCGTGTTACGTCTTTTATTTTGGTATCAAATTGTGCGCAATCTAAAGGCGCTCATTTTGAAACCACTCTCAGATTGATCTGATAAAATTTATATTTTTAACAAATATTTTAATGAGTGACTCGAGTTACCCCGAGATGACTCGAGAGAAAAATGAGTGATTACTGTGGGAGGCAACGGAGTGCGATAGTGTTAAGTTCATTTTTTAACTTAATTTTTTCGGACTCTATAAAGTGAATAATACAAAATTCTAATTGCATAGTACGTCAATCTTTGTACTATGGTGTACTATTATCAGAATCCTGGTCACTAAATTCTTAATATGAATAATTTCCCACAAATCAATTTTCTAAAGGAATATGAGGTCCTGTTGCATGATATGTATACGCACCAAACAGTGGCCGTGTGCTGTGGATATCTGCCTTGTGTTGTGTTGTGAACCTTGTAACCAGCACGGCATTAACTGATATCGGTACCTTGTACAGTACATAGTCTTTATCACAGTCAAGATCTTCTATCACAAACTCATTAAATAACCAGTTATTTATTCCACCATTGAGTGATGCTGCAGCCATGAGCTGCATGGTAGTGCTATGAGACTGGCAGCAGCAGTTTCTCTCAGTATTGAGACCTCATACCTAGGTGGTGCCCACAATTTTTTTTTTTCCAAAATGGCATTTGTTAACTAGAGTCCTGAGGAAGCAGCTGTGAGCCCAGTTTACCTGCAGAAGTTTTAAGTCTTACGAGGTACTGTACTTTAACTCATCCCGTCATTGACTTGTGCAGTAGGGTCAGATATGGCCTGCTCATCCCTGACTGTTGTGCAGCTTATGGATAATTAGTGAAAACATCCCTTGCTGTGTTTGCAGTTGAAAGGTTAATAATATGTATATACAAAATTCAACACAGTACAGAAAAAAATTTGTGAAAAAAAAAAAAAAATAGTTGAGTTCCCCTCTACTTCCCTGTGTTCCACACATTACAAAAACTGTAATGTTCTTTAAAAAAGAAAAAAAAAAAAAAGAAATTACCTGAATGTCCTTCTAATTTTTGAACAATTTCTTTGGTTTGAAGGTTCCAGATATAGATAAAATTATCTTCAGATCCTGATACAATCCACTGAAATATGAGAAAAAATTAAATGATTACATGGCTTAAATTAAATATTTTTGTTAAAGCTATACAGTAGGGATATGCAATATTGTGAAAAAGAAAAGAGAATGTCATACCATAATTATCACTCAGGCATATTGAAAAGTGGAAGTCAACTTAATGAATGTACAGTATTTAATTTACAATGCACACTAATATCAGAATAAAGAGTATACAGTAGTGTCAAAGTGTACATATAAATACTCCACCACTCATTAACATTAGGGGTAAAATTGGTTCCTGAGCTTGAGTAATAGGTATGGTAATGGGAATGTTTTTACTATTTATTCAATTCTTTCTAAATAACTAACACTTCTATTTATAAGATATTAAATATAAGAGGGAACAGCAACAGTTACTTGTAAGTAACAGAAGAGAGCAAACAAAGAGATGCTATCTGTGACAGAACATAAAAATGTCTGAAGAGTAAATCAAGAGAGACCCCAGAAGGCCAGGCAAATGCAAACTACACAATCTTGGTGCTGACATGAATGATTTGAAACAAACCTCTCAAGAAAGAAAATTAAGTTCATATGACATTAAAACAGTATATTGCAAAAATTCTCCTGGTGCCAATACTACAAAAATAGGCCGACATCACAGATACATCTCTAGTTTAAATACTAAAATATTAATATCTTAGATCTCACTCCTCTTGCCAATGGATAGAATAGGGGTACCACAGCTGGGTGCCGAGGGAAGGAGGTAGGGATTACTGTACCCCGAGTGTAGGAAAACAAGACTTACATAGCTGGGTGCTGGGAAATAAAGACAGAACTTGGAGCATGTCTAATAGCAACAATAAGCTACCACCTCCTACCTCATGTCTAGTTATTATTTAGTAATAATGAAGCAGTCAAGAGGGATTTTCTTAAAAATAATATTGTAAATTTTAATGATTTTATTATTAGCTGGGTGGGAATGTTGTGGAAACACGCATAGGAATGATAGCGAGTGCCCACAACCTGTCGAGATGCATACTGTCAACCACACACGATTTCTTCCACCCATTCCTGGACAGGGTTATAGAAAGGCACAGTAACAACAATGGATGCCGATTAGATAAGGCTACAGTAATATCCATTAACGTAGACCACCACAAACATTTGATATAGTTTTCTAAGTAAATTCATAGGGTTTAGTATTCCCATGAAGGACATGTGGAGTAGAGCAAGGACCTGCTCCAGTAGAGCAGGAAGGACAGATTATAACGCATAACACCTTACACCGGTTATCTTATGAAGATTTAAACAATTATTATCTTGATAATATGTCTATGTGGATGTCATGGAATGTTAGATGTCACCTAACCCACGAAAAAATCCTGCTATCATTTCCTGGCATGAACGCAGACTTCTTCATTAATGTTATTAGGGAAATGTGGTCATCATATGACAATTTAAACAATTATTTTCTGGATTTTACATGAATTATGCAAATATGGATATAATACTGCTCTGAGGATGTAAATAAAGAAAAACAGTGAAACATCCGAGGAAACAAGAAGCGTCAGTGAAGTTGTGCACTAGGCATTGACAAGTGCCCGAGCAGAGCAGCCTTGCAGAGCACCTTCACCCAGCGAAACAATAAATATGAACTTATTTTCTCGTTTTCCTTACATTTTGAATACAAATGCAAACAAATTGAATACAAATAATTACATGATGAAAAATTATTATTATTATTATTGTTTTTTGTCCTTAGGTGGGTATGACAATTTCTCCATAGCTGCTGTCTAAGGATTAAAAGTGAGGGAAGAGAATCAAGAGGGAAACAGGTATCCCACACATGAGGCAAAAGCTGTCATAGGAACACTGGAAAAAATGACAAGCAAGGGCAGCAAGCCCAACCTGGAGAGGAAATAGCAACACTCCAGCAGAGAATCAGAAGAGAGAAGCCCCAAGACACGTGGAACCTAGAAACTGGGATGTAATATTGCAACTTAGTTTACATTCTCTAGAAAGGTGAAGAGCAAGAGGTGACATGACTTTAGTATACAAATGTATGAAAGGGTATAAGATAATGCCAAGCATATCGACACCAAAAATGGATACAAATTGGACAAGAATGGTCAAACCATTGCATTCACCTGGGCTCTAAGATACTCAAACTGTGGACCCCATGCGAGGGGGGGGCCTAAGCTCTATCGTCCACGCTATTGAGTAGTCTTAACACTTTGCGCGGCCTGGCGGGTCACTCGCAACGCACCTCAAAGTAGGCTGCGCGTTGCCCGTGAGCGGACAACCACACTCCAACGTTTATACTCTTTACAGTTTTCTCATCTTAATTTTCGCGCTGTCATTCATTTTGGTATCAAATTGTTCGCAATAGATTGCTCTAAAAGGAAGGGTATATAAGGTCAAATAGGAGAACATCATTGCCAATAAAATAAGATGAAGTACATCGTCATGTGAAAAACCCGGCTTTTTGTCATTGTTTAGTCGTTATTCATTCCTGACATTATTTGTTACCCATCATTCGTTTTTGTGTTGCTTCTTGCTTATAAAAACAGCAATAAAAAATACCAGAGGTAAAACAACCGGAACGGGCGCACATTTTGACTTGAGGGTAGGTTGAGTAGGCGGGTATACTACTACGTGGGGAATACAGAGAATGGGAAGTTGTTGGTGCACATTTTAAAACAAGTCCAATAATAATCAGACAATAAATGAAATTTTTACAAATATTTTAATTGTTGACAGCATTAACGTCTTGTCCCACACTACTTGTATTGTTTTAATGACTCCGAGAACCTCATCACAAAGCCAAAGTATTAACAAGGAAAGTTTTCAGAAGCAGCATCCTCCTGCTGCCAAACTGGAATTTGACAAACTTTTATTTGTCAAATCATTCCAGGGTAAATGTTTGTTTGGAAAAAGGGATGTTGATTTATGTAATAAGTATTGTAATTATCAAAAGAAGGCGTCAAGCCAGGAAAACTATGTTGCACCGTCTGTGTTGCTAGACATTCAAAATGCACTAAATATCATTTAAGATGCCAATACGAGAATAGGACACAAAGCGAGCGATATCAAAGGAATTGGATTTACCAAGGATTCCATTGAGGAATAAATGACCCCCTAGAGACATTAGGAAAGCAAGACATTATTTTCCTGAAAATTGGGGCTCTTAAAGGGAGATGCACAACTATACGTGTGACAATGCAGTTTGAACAAAAGGGAGCAGATTATTGTTCCATTAAGGCAAGGTAATTTCTCAATCAGGAGAAAAGAACAAGCCATTATGACTGCATTACACTTGGAAGTGATACGAGGCTAAAGATTTAGGATAGGACTAATGAAAGGGATGGTGCCCAATCACTTGGACATTCAGTGATTGAACCCTAACCTGCAAGAAGCGAGACCACGCATCACATAATGGCTGCCCAGTCTATTATGCAACGGAGTGGAAGTCACCAAAGAAAAATGGTACTAATAGGAAGAGGGCTGAGGGCATTCATTACTGTCCCTACATTAGCTTACATATGATGACCGAGGCCATCCACAATATGACTATAAAAAAAAGTACTAAATATATAATTATAATCATTTCATATGGAATTGCTGACCCAAGTGATTATTATACCACTGTCAAAAAAATATTCTTCCAATAAAACAAACATTACTGAAATGATTTGTAAAGGTTTTCTATATTAAAACTCATACTCAAGGAAAAATAAAAATTCTTACTTTTCCCCCAGTTACTGAGAAATTTGCAAAGATGCAGTATTTTTCATTCTTGTGTCCAGTGTAGGTTTTGAGGCACTTTCCTTTACTGTAGTCCCATAACTTTAATGTGTTGTCTAGTGTGGCTGCTAGAATGTATTTGCCATTTGGAGAGAATTTAACGAAGGAAACTGGAGGATTATCATCATCAATGAGTGTTTTGAGACATTGGCCTGAAGTGGTGTCCCAGATTCGACTGAAATAAAAGGAAATCTTTAAATTACTGTCATGCTTAATATAAAGAATCACACTACTAGTCCGATCATGCAAGGACCACTTTGACTAACAGCCAGAACACTTTTGTATATTTTCAAATATTTCTTTCAAAATTAGTTTGCCCTTAATAATGTTATTATAATGACGTCATGAATTACTACCTTAATTAGGCCTAGTTTTACCCTTAGATAAATGACCATGCAATAAAAAAAATCAAGAAAACAAATAAAGTAGATTTGTTTGAAATTATCGATAGTATACTAGTAATAACAAAATTTGTTTATAGACTGTTACCAAAGACCATCATAGCTGCTAGACACAATGAGAGTTCCATCCCGGTTAAAGTTGACAGCACTGACTGGATCAGAGTGAGCTGGTAATGTCTTTAGACATTTTCCCGTTTTAACGTCCCATATACGTACACTCTCGTCAAACTATGTAGAGAATTTATATATCATATCAGTTTTCTTAAAACATTTACCTGTATATAATTACTGCACAATTACCTTTCAGATAAATATTTGTAACTCATGGGAAAATATATACGACTATAAATTTCAGATTGGATGTACTAGTACTGTACAGCTATAACTTACAGAGCCTGAAACAATGAGGTTTGACTGCGGGTTGAAGTTGCAGCAAAACACATAATTACTGTGTCCCTTAAGAGTTTTCACACATTTGCCCTGAAAAGAAATTTTTGTGTAAGACCAATTATAAGTTTTCTAAATGGAACTGATATATACCACCCTATCTTGTATAATTTTCTAGGGGAAGCCCCTGGTGGCTCCCAGAAGCTATCTCACTGAGCTGGCTCCCAATTGCTGGTTTGCATCAGCTGTGGAGTACTGTTTAGCCTAAAAGAACTCAGCCAAGAAAAAATGGTACTAATAGGAAGAGCCAAAACCTGCCACCTTCCCCACCCCTCAGAGGTGCAGAGAGCTGAGGACACACTGCTACTCCAATGGGAAAGTATCCAGAATGTCAGTGAACCAATACAGACCACAGTTGGGTTCAAGGACACTGAAGAATCAAAACTGTCAAACTCACTCCCTCAAACAATGTAAACAAATGAAAAATCTCTCTTATACCAGTGCAAGCTCATTAGCACTACTTCCCTGCCAGTTGTGGGGAGGGAAGGGGGCACAAGTCCATGTCTCCACTAGTGCTTCAAGTCAGTTCTGTTGCTGATGCGGACACATTTAATTGACCTCTGTAGGATTCCCGGGTTGTCAACAAGCCATGCGAGTTTTGCTGCTGCTAAGTGCTGGCTAACCTTGGACTTTGTTATGTGGCTATCTACCTTGTGGGAGCCATTTGCTTCTTCTAGTTCTATGTTTCAGTTATTCACGAACTGATTCAGCAGATCCGTGACAGCAGATTCACAAATGTGTTTTCTGCTTGGTTTGTGTTGTGGACCTAACTTAGACTTAGGCACTTAGAACTGCACATGCTCAGGGCTACCTTCTCTGTGTGCTCCATAGCACTGTCCCTGCACTGAAAAAGTTATCTTTTCTGGTGTATTTGGGAGTTTGTTCTTTAGAGGCCTTATATTGGATAAGTCAGGGATATTTTGCCTCTCTATCTAGACCCTTGTTTGTGGGGTGAACATTTTGGCGGGTTGCGACACCCTAGGAGGTTCGCATGCTTTACACGGCCCGTGGAGGTAGGCCTTCACAGCCGTGTTGACCAGGCTGTGTTGGTCTACTTACATAATTTCCGGTGAGCATTCCCAGTGCCTGGGTGCCCTGTTTGGTCAGTTGTTTGAGCTCTGGTAATTCCCTGCGGATTTTGGCGAGGCCTATGGATATACCCTTTAAAGCTGCTCTCGCTTTGCCTGAGTATGTGGATGAGATGATGAATAAGAAAAAGCTAAGACAGATAGGAGAACTTCCTGCAACCCACAAAAAAACCCTAGCCAAACCCTGAATATTAGAAGTATAGGAATGTGTCAATACATGCCCTAGAGGTCAATGGAGATCATCCAAGCATTCACTGCAAGAATGAGACAGAACATAGACCAAGCGATTACTTGGGCCATAAAAGCCTTGTCTATTGTCCACGATTATGGGCCATAGAAGCCTCGTCTAGTGTCCACGATTATGGGCCAAAGAAGCCTCGTCTATTGTCCACGTTTATAGAAGGTTAGCAATTTATATGACTAGGGCATGGATTATCTAATACCTCTATGCTCAGGTGGCACCCCAGGGGAGGCCTAAGGTCTCAATTAGATACCAGATGCATATATCTGACATCCTTCTTTACCCTAGTTGTTCAGATGCTCAGTAGTTAGAGCTAAGGGCTACCGTTCTGGTGGCCTGTGGTTCGAGGCTCCTATGGGGCAGAGTGAATGTTTTATTATGTTAACAATATTTGTTAGCTAATGTTAACAATGTTTTAATAGATGTAAACAAACCACTTAAGATAGAGAAGTCCCCCACCTGCTTGGTGTTCATGGAGACAGCTAGAAAGAATGCGATATGATCTTGGTCTGGGAACGTGTATATTGTATATGTAGGTGCAGATACTTATTATTAGATGGCTAGTTTAACTAGGAAGGTAAGGTAAGTACAGTATCAGGAGGAAGTGCTAAACTAGTAGGAGTAGAGCACCTGGATGGGACATGAGAACAAGGAGCTGGGATAGGACAGAAGGAAGAAATGGTGCCCATCTACTGAGATCATTGGGTTTTGAACCTCAACCTACAATATGCAAGGCCGTTGCTGCACCGACCAGTCCAAGTGGCAAGACAATGAGCTAATTTTAAGCCACACTTGTTATAACAAATGAGGATTCAGTAGAGCTGTGAGAATTTATAGAAGTACTGTACTACTATACTATACTATAAAGTAATATTGTTACTGAGAAAATGGTATATATGTTGCAGTGTAAAACAAAATATCCTTAGCATTACTTTTTTAATAGAGGTGTGCAAGCAATGGTTTACAAAATCACAAGCTGAAAATGTCTCATATAGATCATGATCTTGTTAGATCATTAAAAGCATGCTGTATAAAAATTTAACTATTCCAAAGCCCCCCAAAATCACACATGCAACTATACATCACAGGATAACATTTAATACAGACACCCTTCATATAATACAGTATATACCAAATAAAATCCTTTAGTACTTACTGATGCAAGTTCCCAAATTTTGAGAGTCTTATCATCTGAAGCGGATACAAGGAGTCTGCTGTCGTGAGACCAGGCAACATCACTAATACCCAGTTTATGACCTGACAATGTTTTCTCAAACTTTCCATCATAGGCACCCCATATTTTGATCACTTTATCAGCAGCTGCAAGGTAAATATTAGAATAATGTAAGTACTGTAACAGAAAAATCAGCAATATTCAAACTGAGAAGTATCTTCAATTTTTTTTCATTAGACTAGTATATAAATATTTTCTATTCTAAAACAGCTGTTAAATATATACTGTATGTTACTTGGTTAATAAAATGTTAAATAATACTATGCTATATACACTGTACATAACATTCAATAAAAATAAAGAAGCTTACATGAACTTGCCAACCAGTCGCCTGTTGGACTGAATTTCACTGATGAAACAGCTTTTGAATGTCCAGAAAGAGTATACTTGAGCATATAATTAGGTTTCTGCAAATATGTATATAATCATATTAAGGTGGAAATTATTGAAAATTAAAGATTTTTTTTTCAAAATAAACAAATCAGGAATTGAAAGTTATAAAACATATATAAATGTTATGTTCAAGAAACTATGGATACAATACACAGAACTTACTAGAGTATGACTGGCTGGTTTTGTGTTAGAACTGTTCTCACTGCCTCTTTGTTCTTCTGACATGATGACACCAATTATATAAGCCACCGATTCAGTAAACCCCTAGAACATGCCTTGAACATGAAATATACAAAATTTAAAGGTTAAACTCATTTAGGAATGCAAAGGATAATAATAATAATTAATACTACTAAAAATTATCAATATATATATATATATATATATATATATATATATATATATACACATACACACACACACATCTTCAGAAGGAGATTCCTTCTCAAGATGTATTAATATACGAAAATACTTAAGGAAATTCCTATTTCAATTCTTCCTCCCTGGTCTGACACTCACATTTTTAAACACGTGTTTATTTTTCGTGATTTACACACACACACATTATATATATATTATATATATTGAAAGATAGGATTGCCCCTTCAATGTGTGTTATTCTGCATATCTACCAGGCAATAGGTACAATTGAAGGCTTATTACCCACGTGCAGCTATGTGGGTATAGCGTGACATCATACAGCTGTGGCTGGTCAGCATGTCAACCTTTACTGTTCTTTACTCATGATTAATAATAATAATAATAATTTTATCCACAAGAAGGTACAATGGGTTGGTGAGATTACATAAGATTGGTATTTTGACATTCTGCAAAGCCACTAACACGCACATCATTGGCAGGTCCTTAATCTAACATATCAGGCATGATGAAAGGGTACATTGTGGCAAGGTTTTTATATTAACAAATAACTACAATATAAGTTAATAGAGGTGATTACACTGGTACTAATATTACTAATATTGGGAAGTGGGTAATACAAGGTACAGTGCAAATTTGAGGTACTAGGTAGGAGACTATGAGGATGTAATTAGGTACTTTTAGGTTTTACTATTGAATAAGGCATAGATTGGACAATTGTTTAATTCATCAGGGAGTGAGTTCTAAAGACTGGGCCCTTTTATTTGCATGAAGTGTTTGCACAGATTTAGTCTGACTGGGGATATCAGATATTTATTTCTGGTGTGGTGCTCATGGGTTCTATTACACCTATCAAGGAAAAGTTTTAGATCAAGATTAGCATTTAGGAACAAGGTTTTGTACATGTAGAGCACATGAGAATGTGTGGAGTGAGTGTATGTTTAGCATGACAAGGGGACTTGGACAGAGGGGGCTGTGATGTCTGAAGACAGACTGTTATAGTTCTGAGAGCAGAGTTGTGCTGTGATGATGATCTTGAAGTAATTTGTAGTGGTTGAATCCCATGATTCATGTAACATTATTTGCGGTTAACCAATCCTCTCAGACACTCCAAGTGTATTTAAGCTTGGTTTTAATGTTATTTGCTTCCTCAATGAAAAGCATATATTTCATGATTTATTTATGCATTTTGTGTTAGGTTTGATGGCGTAATGTTGCCTAGAAGAGCAGGTGAGGCCTGCCAGTACAGGTGAGCATCTCACCCTCCCACTATCTCTTCTTCACTCCAAACTCACTCAATTAAGTCTATTTGTATATTATTTATGCTAAACACTGGGTCACTCACCTGTCCCTTTACGTACAGCTGTTCTTACAAAAAATGTAGTAAGTGAAGAGGAAGAGCGGCTTGTGTGGTCTATTTACACTTTAACCCAAACACAGCCATGTGAGCTGACAAAATATTAAACTTACCACGTGTGAATAATATTAATAAAGGCAACAGTCAACACGAAAAGATACACGTATAAAACATTTAAATAAATATCAAAGACGTTATCTCATTGGTAAACAAGCTAGATGCAGAGTAAGAATTGAGTTTAAAAGTATTTACAGTACGTGTGGTTGGCGCCAAGTGTTATGATTGGAACCCTGGGAGTGACGTCATGGCGGCCATCATGGTGTGAGGCTCCCGGAGCACACACGCTCCCCGGTGTCCTCCTCTCCATCACCGTCCCGCCACTCTCTCCCATATACTGAATGTTTGATGATTCCTAACAGTTCGGCATGCACGAGCTTTGGAAAAGAAGGTGAATAAATGGTGTTAGCGAGTGGTTGTGAGGAGTTGGGAGGTGTTGCGTGGTCATGTGACCAGTGTGGACCAATCAGGTTGCGAGTTGTGTGAGGGACTGTGTGTGGTGGCTGGGGCGGAGTGAGCCATTGTGAGGCGCGTCACCGGCGGGTATCTCTGACTATCATGGCTGGCCGCGGCCATCCTCCCCACCTCCACTACCAGCACGCACCACAACCCGTCAATAGAGGGTATTAGACCATTCTGCTTCGTCTACCTACACACACAGCGCCATACCACCTTCACCAATATGAGCGTGGCTTTCCAGCGTCAAAGGTTGAGTCAGCCATAACTCTTGGGAGCATAAGGAAAATCCTTTTAAGTTTAAGGTTTCCTGGTATATACCATTGAGAGTGGGGGTTGAAGATGAGAGTAAAGCGTTCTAGAGGATGTTGGGCGGCTGTAGAGGGTCTGGCGTGAGGCTGGGGGCGGGGAGGGAGCGCTCTAGAGGCGTCCTACTAGTGCGCGGCTCCCGGCGCCTCTGACCTGCTCTACCCGCCATTTTGAAACCAAAGCCGTTATGGCTGACGCCAGAGCCACTGTCTTTGAAGTTTTGTGGTGATTAGTATCGTTACAATGTGAGTGCAAAGTGTTGACCAGTGCCAGTTTGTGCCCGAGAGACTAGAGACTTGCTTGATACACACAGTGCCAATGGAATTGTTGTGAGTGCGGAGAAAACATCGAGTGTGGAGTGAGGGACGCTACGTGCGCCGTCCCAAGACCTACTCTGGGTTTGTTGTGAGTCCGTTTGAGTTTTGCCTTTGCTTCTCTGTGTTTGCTATTGTAATTACAGAACAAAAATTTAATTGAATTATGAAAAACTAAAGGCATGAAGGTTGAAATCAAAGATGTGTTGCAAATAAACTGAAAGTGGGTGCAGACCCAGGTGACTGCATGCAAATTTGTCAAAGGCCATTAGTATGGTTATATACAGTAATTCTAAGTCATCCTAAAGTTATTGGAGCTCTACAAAGGAGTTCCTGTAGGCTTGAAACGTTTAGTGCTGCACAATGTAGTGCTCTTCAAGACTTTATGACTTCTCAACATAACAAGTTTGTTATTGAATGATGCAACGCTCTTGGGGTAAGCTTAGGCCTAGTTGGCAAGGATATTTCCTTCATACTTACTTCTCATACTCTTTTAATACTCTGTGAATCACCATAACATGTTAATTTGGGCCTCCAATATCATCTCAAGCTTTAAACATTAATTGCTTTATATACTGCCATACAGTAGGCTAATACAAGACAATTGACAACTAATTTTTCTTAAATAGTGTCTGGACAGGGCTTTTTGGGTGTGGGTTAATGTTGTTTACCAATCATTTCTTACAAAAGATGGTTTTGCAGTTGATTTTCTTAGCGTGGAAAGAGTTATAAGTAAAGCGTCGTTTATGAATTTACTGTTCCTCCAAGGATTGGAGAAGGTTGCTGCATTTGTGGCTCGTCACTTCTCTTGTGGCACTTTGCTGTAGGTTGTCTCCATCTCCAGTCTCGTAATAATTGTTTATAATATTCCTCACCAGGGATCTATTGCACTGTTTTTAGTTTTACAGTTTTATGTACTGTGAATCTGTTAAAGCTGTTGAAACTTTAGCAGTTTATGACACATTTCCTGAAGGGGTTGTATAGTTTGCATTTGAAAGAACAACTTTGAAACTAGAATATTACAAAGCAGACAAAAAATAAACCCTTCGTAAATTGTAATGTAAACTGATGAAATTTGGGATATGTTGGGGTGATCCTTAGTCATGTGGATTTTGATCATTAATGAGAAGTGGGATGGATTACCTGGAGGTGTTTTGAGGATCTCTGTACCAGTGGCTTGCTTTCTAACAAGGACAGCCGATTGGTCGTCACCAATTTACCAATTGATTTTTTTATTGTATTGTATTAAAACCTTCCTTACCTAGCCATAATCTAATTCAGCCAAACCTAGCGATTGGATGTTTTAATTTGAAAATGAGCCTGTATATGCCTTTACTGTAACTTCATGGGTTCATTCAGTGATTTAAGTTACACTAATATGTGCAAACAGTCACAATAACATGGCTGAAGATATAATGAAAAATCCACACATCAGAAAATTGAGAAATTTTGGTCCATCCTGGACTATTATTAAGTCGTGTAATGTTCCAGACTTGATAATGGACCTGGATGGAGCTAAACATCTTCGTTTCTCCATTTTCTGATGTGTGGTTTGGTCATCATACACAAGTGTTTCATTCTTTAATATTATTGTTCAAAGTTATGTTTCAAATCTCATCTGTGGGTTTAGGTAAAAGGGTTTTGCCTCTTAAGCACAAATTATGTGCAGTCGGGAAGGGGAAAAGACTTCTTAATAATAAAGAAATTAAATGAGAAAATTTATTAATACCCTTATGACAACTATTTCAATGACATAATTAATTAATAGACCTATAATTCTGTGCAATATTAAGTAGAAAGAATGCACATTTAATTAAGACTAATGATGTTAAAAACAAAGGCAACTGCAGAAGGCCTATTGGCCCATACGAGGCAGCTCCTATCTATAACCCCCCAATCCCACTCATATACATGTCCAACCCGTGCTTAGTTAATGTTAGTAACTTTAATAAGATAAAGTTGGTCACAGCTTATTGAGTCAGGTTTTTAGTAGTGGTTTACAACATGCCTCGAGTACAATTTAGGGGTTTCCTTTGGCATTTAGGCTACTGTATGCCAATTATATGCTGTAAATTAGTTTTGTTTTTATAAATAAAGCTTTGAAATTGTATTATTGCTTAAAATTAATCATGATATACCAAAATCAGAATTTAAATATCTCAATGGGGTATAATTTTTAATAATGTGCTAGTAATGTTTTAACCTTTAGAAAATTACATCTTGCACTGTTCTCCAATAGGTTTATATTCAGTGTAAAAATATTCCTTAGGTTCGATACGGATTTTCAGTGCAGTTCTTATACTTTAAATTGAGTAGATGTCATTTATCAGATATTTAGGTTAACCAAATTTCTAGTCATAACAAATTTGGCAAAAATTAAAGTTCATTCATTAATTCTTACTTTTATCATTACTGTATACTTTACAGTAAATGTTGGCATGTTAGTTGAAATGACACTAAATGAACATGTAACTTGAAGAGACTGTATTGCTTCATGCAGGTCGGCGTTCAATCCCCGGCCGTTTAAGTAGTTGGGCACCATTCCTTTCCCCCATCCCCATCCTAAATCCTTATGCTGACCCCTTCCAAGTGCTATAAGTTGTAATGGCTTGGCATTTTCCCCCTGATAGCTACAATTGTATATAATTCCATATCACATATCATATCTTCATACACTCAGGTGCTTTTGCAGTTTTCAATAACCACATTGAATATACTGATACCAGTAAAGTATATAAGCTACTATAGTGTAGTCATAATAAAACAAAAACAAATTATGATTCTTAATAAAAAATAACTAGTGGCTTTCAGTTTTTTATGTGTTAATATATTTATTTACTGTAGACACTTTGCACTAGCTAATGATTTACTGAGGAAATAACTGATACAGTACATTGTATCATGGCCCCAAGTTTGAACTCCAGTTTGTGTAGGCTTTACTAATCTGATTTCACTGTGTACCCTAAGATGGCATAATTGAGCCCTACTTACGAAGGTTTTTACTAATGTACAAGAGCCTGAGCTGCAATATTATTATTTTTTACAATAATGTTGCCCAGTTAGTAAAAAAGTAAAGAAAGTAAAAAAAAAAAGTGAAAAATGCCTTCATTAAGATTGTGGTCTATTTCCCAATGTGACCAATAATCCTTTTATTGGATATTATGTATTACAAAAATAAATAATGTACAATAATAATAAATTTGGCAGAAAATTAGCTTTATTATGCTTCATGTGTTATTTGACCTTGATTAACGAAATTTCACAAAGATTAAAGGCCTTCGCACGGATTCTATCTATCCTTTTGGGTACAAAAAGTTTCTAAATCTGACTCAAAGTCTTCTTTCTTGAATGAAGCTTGTTCCTCCACCACAAACTCATGTTCCACGTAGCTTCATGAACACTTGTTATTATTCACGTAATACTTAGTCAAGGTTGTAAACAGTTTAGTTACCAAAGCTAATGTTTACGTTTTAAGTAATACTAACTAGAAATAAGGGAGAGGCTTACCACACCCAACGATGCCCAATTTAAATTATTTGGCCTTGCACATTTAATATGCTGTATTCATACAGTACCTGAAATTCCAATAAATTAGTTTTTATTATATACACACACAATTATATACAATATTCACTTCCTCTAGTATCAAGTACAGTATTTCTCAACATCATGGGAACCAATTACACCATCTTGGAGTAATATGTATTTCTTTTTGGGGTAGGACAAAGTCGCTGGACTCCTGACACTTGACTAAAGTATTTATGGGGTCGTTAGACTAAAATAGGTTTATTAGAAAAATAACCGACTCAAAAGAGCATGAACTTAAGGCATGATTCTTAACAAATGTAACTATATATCCCTTAAGTGTTTTGGGAACCAAGCAATGGGGGGACTTGATCTCTGGTTCCTTTCACAGTTACTTCTGTGAAACATGATTCTCTGTATTGAACCAAATGAAAGTGGAGAAATTGACTGTCATGACATGTCAGTATGTTTATTTCATGTTCAGATTGCACAAAAACAAAAGAAACCTCATTAGTTGTAGCTTGCCAGTTTGTGTATTTGCAATTTGTCATTTTCTATAAATTCTATAAATGATAGTCCTTATGATTTTCTTTTGGATGTTCTGTTCGTAGATATCCATATGTAAAGTAAAACCAAGCTATTGACATCCTTTGAAGACACACTGGCATGTAATAGGACTTATGATTTTGATGTGTTCAGTGAAGGTGGTGTGGGGACATATTGGAAAATCCACTTGGGGGGGGGGTAATTGTAAAACAGGTAAAGACTTGTTGAATGGGGAGTGTATTTTGAGCCCGTGTTCATAATATGTCAATGATACATATGTATAGGTGAATGATGATACAGTATCTGCAAGTTTGTTGATGACATGAAAGTGAGGTGAATAGTAAGCTTTAATGATGGTTCAGCCTAACTTCAGAAAGGCCTAACCACTGCAGAAAAGTACCAGATGATGACCAACACTACAAAGTACAAGGTCCTACATTGTAGAAATGACAGCGACGCCATCTACCAGATAAATGGTGCTGATATGGGTAAATTGACTTGTAGTGTTGTTACAAATTACATTTGTAGGTGGTCATCGTTGACAGTAAATTGAGACCTGGGCAAAATTCAGAATCCATAACAATGGCTATAGTTGGAGAGGCTCAAATTTTGGACAAATGTGGGTGGTAAAGAGTGGAATGGCTTTCTAGCCAATACCATAGCTGTAAATGGCAACATGTGCTTTAAAAATAGGCTTGATAGATAACAGGGGATGAGGGGTTGGATCTAGATGGGAACAAAACTAAATGTTTTGATGTCGGTCTTTAGTCTGATGGCCTACTTTACTTTGAGGTGTTTTTGGGGATTAGCGTCCCCATGGCCCAGCCGTCGACCAGGCCTCCTTGCTGGACTGGTCAACCAGGCTGTTAGATGCGGCTGCTCGCAGCCTGACATATGAATCACAGCCTGGTTGATTAGGTATCCTTTGGAGGTGCTTTTCGAGTTCTCTCTTGAACACTGTGAGGGGTAGATAGAATAGGAGAATTCAGACAATTAAATTTTAATCCTCAAAATGCAGCTAACATCAAAATTGCCACCCTGAGAGCTCAACAAATTATTTTTTACTTATTTCTTATGAAATATTAGATCTGGTTTAAAAAAAAATATGGAAAATACAAATAATAAGAAATAAAATCATGTGCAGTATCTCCCCTCACTTTGACCTATGCAATGGTCAACATTCCTTCTATCAGCATTGAACTGATGTGAGCCAGGCTCCAACAAAAAATATTACTTTTTTATATATGATATACAGTATTAGAAAGTAAGGCATCTTAATTCAAAGGAAAAAAAGAATAAAAACTGGAATAGCTGTAGAACTGAGCTAGAGTAGTCCTTCAAAGTTCATTCAAATATTGAGTTGAT